GTTCGTAATTTTTTTATGAACTCTACAAATGTCCCTAAGTTAGAAAAAAATATTCTAAGTGTACAGTAGTTGACATTAAAATGAAAAAAATAGTAATTTTTGGATAAAAATGTACTTTTAAAGGAATCTAGAGGATAGAAAATGTTTGTAATTTTTTTACGAAGTCTACAAATGTCCCTTAGTTAGATATAAATATAAACAATAATTATTGTTTATCTAAGTGTACAGTGGTTGACATTAAAATGGAAAAAATAGTAATTTTAGGAAAAAAATTTAATTTTAAAGGAATGTAGAGGATAGAAAATGTTCGTAATTTTGTTAAGAATTCTACAAATGTCCCTAAGTTGGAAAAAAATATAAACAATAATTATTGTTTATCTAAGTGTACAGTAGTTGACATTAAAAAGGAAAAAATAGTAATTTTTGGATAACAATGTAATATTAAAGGAATCTAAATAATAGAAAATGTTCGTAATTTTTTTATGAACTCTACAAATGTCCCTAAGTTAGAAAACAATATTCTAAGTGTACAGTAGTTGACATTAAAATGGAAAAATAGTAATTTTTTGGAAAAAATGTAATGTTAAAAGATTCTAGATGATAGGAAATGTTCGTAAATTTTTTTATGAACTCTACAAATGTTTCTAAGTTAGAAAAAAATATAAACAATAATTATTGTTTATCTAAGTGTACAGTAGTTGACATTAAAATAAAAATATAGTAATTTTTGGAAAAAAATTTAATTTTAAAGAAATCTATATGATAGAAAATGTTCGTAATTTTGTTAAGAATTCTACAAATGTCCCTAAGTTGGAAAAAAATATAAACAATAATTATTGTTTATCTAAGTGTACAGTAGTTGACATTAAAATAGAAAAAATAGTAATTTTTGGAAAAAAAATTTAATTTTAAAGAAATCTAGATGATAGAAAATGTTCGTAATTTTTTTAAGAATTCTACAAATGTCCCTAAGTTAGAAAAAAATATAAACAATAATTATTGTTTATCTAAGTGTACAGTAGTTGACATTAAAAAGGAAAAAATAGTAATTTTTGGATAACAATGTAATGTTAAAGGAATCTAAATAATAGAAAATGTTCGTAATTTTTTTATGAACTCTACAAATGTCCCAAAGTTAAAAAAAAATATTCAAAGTGTACAGTAGTTGACATTAAAATGAAAAAAATAGTAATTTTTGGATAAAAATGTACTTTTAAAGGAATCTAGAGGATAGAAAATGTTTGTAATTTTTTTACGAAGTCTACAAATGTCCCTTAGTTAGATAAAAATATAAACAATAATTATTGTTTATCTAAGTGTACAGTGGTTGACATTAAAATGGAAAAAATAGTAATTTTAGGAAAAAAATTTAATTTTAAAGGAATGTAGAGGATAGAAAATGTTTGTAATTTTTTTGCGAAGCCTACAAATGTCCCTTAGTTGAAAAAAAATATAAACAATAATTATTGTTTATCTAAGTGTAAAGTAGATGACATTAAAATGGAAAAATAGTAATTTTTTGGAAAAAATGTAATGTTAAAAGATTCTAGATGATAGGAAATGTTCGTAAATTTTTTTATGAACTCTACAAATGTTTCTAAGTTAGAAAAAAATATAAACAATAATTATTGTTTATCTAAGTGTACAGTAGTTGACATTAAAATATAAATATAGTAATTTTTGGAAAAAAATTTAATTTTAAAGAAATCTATATGATAGAAAATGTTCGTAATTTTGTTAAGAATTCTACAAATGTCCCTAAGTTGGAAAAAAATATAAACAATAATTATTGTTTATCTAAGTGTACAGTAGTTGACATTAAAATAGAAAAAATAGTAATTTTTGGAAAAAAATTTAATTTTAAAGAAATCTAGATGATAGAAAATGTTCGTAATTTTTTTATGAACTTTACAAATGTCCCTAAGTTAGAAAAGAATATAAACAATAATTATTGTTTATCTAAGTGTACAGTGGTTGACATTAAAATGGAAAAATAGTAATTTTTCGAAAAAAATTTAATTTTAAAGAAATCTAGATGATAGAAAATGTTCGTAATTTTTTTATGAACTTTACAAATGTCCCTAAGTTAGAAAAAAATATAAACAATAATTATTGTTTATCTAAGTGTACAGTGGTTGACATTAAAATGGAAAAATAGTAATTTTTCGAAAAAAATTTAATTTTAAAGAAATCTAGATGATAGAAAATGTTGGTAATTTTTTTATGAACTTTACAAATGTCCCTAAGTTAGAAAAAAATATAAACAATAATTATTGTTTATCTAAGTGTACAGTAGTTGACATTAAAATGGAAAAAATAGTAATTTTGTTTTAAAAGTGCAATTTTAAAGGAATCTGGAGGATAGGAAATGTTTGTAATTTTTTTACGAACTCTACGAATGTCCCTGAGTTTAGAAAAAAATATAAACAATAATTAAAGTTTATATTAATGTACAGTAGTTGACATTAAAGTCGAACAATTTGTATTTTTATGAATTAATTTAATTAGAATGGAATCTGGAGAACTGGAAATGTTCTTAATTTTTTTTAGGAACTCTGCTAATGGTTCTGAGTAAGAAAAAAATAATAAACAGTTATTATTTCTATTAGTGTACAGCAGTTGACACAAATGTCCGAATAAGAGGAAATTTTTTGAAAAGTCTAATTTATTTGAAATTTAGGAGGGAAGGGGTAGAAAATGTTCGCAATTTTTTTGCAAACTTAGTAAATTATTTTTTTAATTTTAATTGTGTTTTCTAAGACTGTACAGCAGTTGACAATAATGTATGTAATGTGGAATTTTTAATAAAAATCTAAATAAAAAGAAATCTAGGGAAATAGAAAGCGTCTACTATTTTTTTGAATACTCAGTAAATTTTTCTGACTTAGAAAAAAAAAATAAATAATTAATGTACAAAAAATAGACAATATTGTCTAAAAATTAAGTCTATCAGGAAAAAGTATAATTAAAAAGAAATCTAGGGGAATAGAATATGTTTACTATTTTTTTGAATACTCAGTAAATGTTCCTGAGTAAGAAAAAAATTAAAAACAATAATTATTCTTTCTAATACTGTACAGCAGTTGACATAAATGTTTGAAATATGGGATTTGTACAAAAAAGTCAAATTTAAAAGAAATCTAGGGAGATAGAAAACGACAATAATTTTTTGTGAACTCAGTAAATGTTCTTGAGTAAGAAAAAAACCACAATTATTGTTATAATAAAGTATAGTAGTGGACATTAATACCTGAATATTAAGAATTACAGAAAAAAGTAATTTAAATAAATCTGGTGGGGTAGAATTCGTAATATATGGATCATTTCTTACAAAAATCAAAATTTTTATTATATTAGAGCAAAATTTCTGATGAAGGGAATATAAATGACTGTTTTGAAACAAAAAAATAAGATTAATAATGTTCGTAAACTGTGAACGACACCTAACTTGTTTTTAACGAGATATTTCCGTATTGACGCATTAGCTCGCGTATATATTGAGGCCTGCCCCTGTTCTCCATGTCAGCATTAAATGAACCATCAGGGTCACTATGAATTCTGATTCTATCAGATGCACAAGCATGGACGCAAGTCTGTCCCGGATATAACGAGGGACCACCGCCCAGTATAATGGCAACATTCACCATCGAATAAGATACCAACATTGATTGTCCAACAGTCAGCGAATTACAAAAGTCTTAATTCAATTTATTGTATTGTATGATTTTTGTCATTTCATTGTACTTTCTCTATTTTAAACATTAATGTCCCATTCATTCAGATTTTAATATATTAATTAATATTTTCATAGATTTCTATATCAAACTTTACAAATTGGCACGGATTATTGCTAATTTCTTCTTGCAATTTTTATTATTTCTAAAGTAAATTGTAATATTTTCAAACCCTTGCAGAATGTACTTTGAACAAAAGAATATTTACTCCAGTAATATTGATTAAAAAAGCAGAAATGCTAAGAAATTTCTTATACTTCAAGTTTTGCTGAAGTAAATAGTAAAAATAACAGTAAAATTTACTATAAATATTCTTTTAAAAAGCATATAACTTTTCTTTAACGATACAAAATTATGATACAGCAATAAATGAAGAAAATAATTATGTCTGATTTGTTAATTATCTGGGGATATTTTACTTGAATGTGACTACTTTATTGAGAGGCATGCCGAATGGTCAGTAAAGATGGCATCGTGAACTCTAAACAAGTAACAAGTGACGTGACGTTTCTTTTAAGCTTCACTATATACATATATATACGTGGAGTGCCAGCACAAGGTATCGGTATGTCACGACGAACCACCTATCGTCTCACCTTAAGGGCTAATTAACTCCAAAGATTCATTATCGACACTAAAGCGGCTTTTCAAGAGTGTCTTAATTTAAGTCAAAATGTCTTTTTTATTTTATGATAACCAATTTGATCATCTTTTCAAATAATTCCAATTTAATGTTAAAAGTATTCGAAAGAACTTATTTTTTGAATAACAAAAGAAAATATCAAATAATTACTGTCTTGTAATTACTTTTCTAATATAACAGTAAACTAAGAAGTTTAGCGCTAGAAATGTTTTAATTTTTTAAATGAACTAATTAATTAATTTTTTTTAACGCGTTTAGAGTTACAGCTTAAATTAACACCAAAAAGGATTAAATTTTGCCAAGAATTTTAAAATTCTTGAAAATAATTGAATTTAGGAGAAGAATTTTAAACTAAGAAGAATTTTTTAATATTAAGAATCGATCAACTCTGCACGTGTTTAGTTATAGCTAATGAAGCGCTCTTAGTGTGAAAACGATGGAACCACTTCTCACCTGAGTTGCAAAACTTTTACCACTAAAGCGCTATTATCGCTGATTATTGTTTAACTAATAAACACCGAACAGAAAACTCCCAATATTCAAAATTAATTAAATTAATTTTGAAATTATGTTAAACATTATAGGATAAAAGTATAAATAATAAAATTTATATAAAAACTCACTCAGTAGTTGCAATTGATTTGACAGGTTATTTTCCCACGTGGCTATTAAATTCTCCACTAGATCACTCCTTTTGAAAACTAGCTCTAAAGTTCCCTGGCTCTTTTCTTCTCCACATTCTTCCTATTCTTCAGAATGTCGATTGAACATTCACTGCAAAATAAAATCAAAGAAAATTTGCCGTTAGAAAATCTGTTTTACAAATTATTATTTTTCGACACCTACTATTTACCTATTTATAATTTTTAAGCAAATTTGGAAAATAATAGTAGTAACCTAGATGATTATTAGGTCACGTGTATCAGAAAATTTCAAACAAGATGAAGATTTTTCTTTCATGTTAGACACGTGGTCAGTTAAAGCTAATGGAAATATTTGTCACCTGAGTTGCAATACTTTTACCACAGAAGCGCTAGTATCGCTAAACTAACACCAAATCAAAAAAAGGAAAAAATCCCCAATATTAAATAGTAATTAAATTAATCTAACAATTTTTTAAATAATAAAAAAATAATTTAAAAATTCAGTTCAACAGGAAATGATCAAAGTTCAAATAATAAAATAATAGAAGTTAAATTATTAATAAAAAATTAACGCACTTTGTAGTTGCAATTAATTTGACAGGTTATTTTCCCACGTGGTGATGAGATTTTCCACTATATATGCGTTTTTCTTCTCGACATTCTTCGCATGATCTACAGATTTTAGATTAAACACTCTCTGAAAAATAAAACCAAACAAAAAATTCCTATTATAAAATCAATTTATTTTACACATTTCTTTAACACCTGCTATTTACCTATTTATAATTTTTGAGCGAACTTTGAATTTAAAATATAATTGGTAGGTCACGTTTAACTACCAGAATAAGAAAATTTCAAAAAAAGATGAGGATTTTTCTTTAATGTTAGACACGTGGTCAGTTCGTGCGAACGAAGCACCTCTGGTGTGAAAACGCTGCAAACATTTGTCGCCTGAGTTGCAGCAGTTTCACCACAAAAGCGCTAGTATCGCTAAACTAACAAACACGAAATGAAGAAAAGAAAAAGCCAAATATTAATTTACTTAATAAAAAAATCAAGTTAAACAGTAATGGACAAAAGTACAAATAATAAAATAATAGAAGTTATATAATTAATAAACAGTTAACTCACTTTGCTACTGTGATTAATTTGATAGGTTATTTTCCCACGTGGTGATAAATGCTGAGGATTTTTCTTTTGTTAGTCACGTGGTTTCTTGTAGCGAATGAGGCACGGTGTGAAAATGCTGCAACCATCTCCCATCTGAGTTGCAGCGATTTCACCACGGAAGCGCTTGTATCGCTGAACTAACAAACATTAATAAGAAATAGAAATAAACCCTCTCAATATTAATTTAAATTATTCATTTTTTATTATTTAGATTTATTATTTTACAAATTTAACTAATAGATCGAAACTATAAAATAAAATAACCAAAACATAGAAACAGTGATAGATTAAAATTCCAGTCTGAGATATCTACGCCGCGCTGGCGCCACTTTAACCCTCTCATTGGTAGAAAATAGCGCGCTTATTTGAAATGCAATAATGTTTGAAAATGCTAAGAAAACAGTAAAATAGAAATTATATATATAAAATTAACTGTTTTTAATTTTAATAATAACCTTTTTTCATCGACATTAATTTTACTAAATTCGTTTAAAGTCATACTTCAGTAAGAATAAAACACTTTGCTTTTTAAAGAATTTTAATAATATTTCAATCAAATATTAAACTTAATTTATAATTTTATTAAAATTAATCTAGATTTTAAGAAAATTACAAAAATAAAAACTAGGTATCAATTTGACAGTTTCATAATTTTAATTGCTTTTTTATATAGTTAAGAATTATTAGAGCATTTTAAATAAGCGCGGTCTTTTACACAAATGAGAGACTTAATGTGGCGCAAGCGCAGAATATCCAAAATTCGTATAAAGGACGATAGATGACGATGCTAATAACTTTTCTTCCTTTTAATCAAATTCAACTTTTAAATTGAATTCTAAAAAGGATTTTTATGCCTTTAGACGTTTTTGCGCCTTTAAATGTATTGCTACAAAATATGCCCTCTTTATTTCTAACAAAAAAACTGTAAAATATTTTAAATACTAGATTTTTTTGGACAACAATAATAATTTCTCTCACGAAATTATAACCCTACAATTGACAGAGTGGGGGTATCTGATAATAGTTAAACGATTCCCTCTAACGGATGAATACTCTTTAGCGAGTGTAATTAAAATTACATCTCTCCATCGGGTGATTCAGATAAGTTTTAGGAGGCGCAAACGGCAAATGAGTATCGCGACTTTGCATATTATGCATCATGAACCTTCCATTAAGTTAGTTACGCTTAAATGCAAATTGCCATATGTTTAATCGATCTATTTAAAACTTTGCAACTGTGTGCGGCATAATGGTTCTTGTCCACCTAAGACTCCTATCATCGCAAATAATCGGAAAAAAATATATTTCAAGACACATTTTTAAACAGTTAATTTTCACGTTGTCTCGTCGCGAATACGTCACACAGTCGTAATTTGCATTATGTAAAATTCAGTACGTAAAACTAATTACAAACAAACTTGTGCTTAATGATTAGTCGCACAATAATCACTAATAGACGAGAAGAACTTGCGACAAAAGTTCCCAAAAAAAGTTTCAGAGAAAAAAATTCCATTCATTCTTTGTTCCCAAAGCTAAAAGTTCCAATAATTATTTATTTCCAAAGTCAAAAGTAAGAATAATTCTTTGTTTCAAAAACCAAAAGGTCCAACATTTTTTTCAAATTTAGAAACTTTTTCTTGATGCATTTCGTCACTTCTAAGAATTGCGAGAAACAAAAATTGCGGCGGACAAATAAAACAGCTGACCCACTTGAAATTTTATAATTCGTCTAAATTCCTAATTAAACGGAATTAAATGACGACAATTTTTTTAAACAATTTTTCCCAATGACAAGAATGTGATTTATGTATAAAAAATATTATTAAATATAATTAATTGAAATAATTTAATTAATAAAGTTAAATAATTTAATAGGATTACATTTAATAAAAATTTACTATTTTATAAATATTTTTTATCATTTAATTAATAATAACATGTACTATACAAAATAATAATTATTATTTATGTAATAATATATTTTTTATTTGATGAGTTATTCAAATTAACTCAATTTTTTATTATACATTGGCAAAATAATTTAATTTCTAAAAATTTGTATTGTAAAATAATATAATTTATAAAAATTGTCATTGCTAAATAATATAATTTATAGAAATTGTTATTATGAAATTAGATTGACCTGTTTTCTTCCAAGTTGGACTTGACTTAAAGTATATAATTTAATGTGGGTGTGTAGTGACAAAATGACCACTTCCTGCATCATTATTATCTCTAAAAATTTATTTTTTATAAATAAATAAAATAATCTTTAAACAGCAGAAAATATTTTTTAAATTCATTAAAATAGAATGACTCTAAAAATTATTTTCGTAATAATAATTTCTAATTTGGTTAACTGAATACATTACTTTAAAAGGCACCTGCAGCAAGGCAACCAGATATGCTTACAAGTATGATTATAAATTAACTCTTTCTGCGTTATTGTTTTCATTAAAAAATTGCCCTTAATAAATAAACGAAGAAAACCTTAATAAATTAATTATTTATATTCATTTATTTCTATTTACTTATATTAATTAATTTATATATTATTATTAATTTATTTACCTTGAATCACGAACAACGAACTAGAAATGGTGCCTGAAGTTAGGCAACCAGATATGCATACAAGTATGATTGTAAATAAATACTTCCTGCATTATCATTTATAAATAAAGAAAAAAATTCTGAATCAAGAAATAACATTTGTTAAAATCACGATAATAGTATATTGATTTAAAAATTATTACTATCCTACTAATAATTTTCAATTTTGTTAACTGAAAACTTAACTTAAAACAGCGCCTAAAGTATAGCAACCAGATATACATCCAAGTATGATAGTATCAAAAAATAATAGTAAACAAATTGAGAAAAATATCATTTTAATCAATAAGCATAGTATAGTTTTGCATAATTAATAAAAAAAATATAAAAATTCATATAAATATTGAAATTTACATAATTAAAAACGAAGAAATATGGTCAATATCTGAACAAAGTTTATTTCAGAGTGAGGAACAACTGCCTCCGTGGCGCAATCGGCTAGCGCGTTCGGCTGTTAACCGAAAGGTTGGTGGTTCGAGCCCACCCGGGGGCGTTTTTTTTACATCACTATATTTAGATTTAAGATAATTTTAACACAATAGAAAAAAGGTAATTAGCGGAATTTTGATTTAAGCGTAATTTGTACTGTGTGAGTACAGAATACTTATAGTATACAGTACTATTTATCCCTAGTATAATTTATTTATACTATAAAATTCTAATAGTAAAATCGAAAATAAGTGGAAATTATCAATACTCAAATCACTCAAAAACAACAAAATAAAAAATATATTTATTCATCAATAATTACGACACAGGTAGTGTCCTCCCTAGAGAAAGTAATGAAGTTCCTGCACAAATTATAGTCGGTTGGTAAACAGTTTTCAAATATAACAAAAAACTTAATATTTTCTAACCAAATTATAAAAATAAGTTTATTTTGATCTTATTTTAATTTTTTAACTTTACCTATAAACAATAAATTTATAATTAACAAAAGGAATAAATGAAATAATTTTAAATTTCGCGCCGATAGAACTGAAAACTGGGTTGGCAACATTGGACCGTAATTTGTTTTCTTTGCATTGGTGCAGCTGTCAGTTCAGCCTTCAAGCCTCGACTGGATAGATAAGATACATCGCAGATACTAAATTGTGAATAATTGGATTGGAATAATAGAACAAAAGGAAAAAACAGAAAAAGTACGTTTCGAGGAAAGTTATAAAGAACCAAAATTACAAAAATGACGGAAGAAAAGGCGGAAATTGTAAGTACAAAAGAGTAACAAATATTCTAACCTCAATCTTTTGTCTCGTTTTTCTTTGTTGAAATTCACTTTTAATATTTTCCTGTTTCGATTTATAACATTACATTTAATTAAACGATTCATTTTATCAATGAAATCGATGGAAATTTCTCAAAAAACTATTTATTCTTGCAATATGGAGTTTATATTTACCCTGGAGAAAGTCACTTTGTTTGCTGTGTTGCAAACCTTGGAGTATTTTAGTAGCAAAATGCGTTTCTAAATGGCGTTATCTCATTATAATACTATGGAATAATCATTTGCTCATTACTGAACTGCTAGAATTTGACTCGCATACCTATTTCCTTGTGAGGTTTTCTGTCTCCTTGAAAATAGTTACATAACTATTATTATGTGTTTACATACTATTAATTATACAATCTTCTAGAAATGCTTTGTCAAGCATAAATGTATTTTATTGTAAGAAATAATTCTCTTTATAATATGAACACAACTCTCTACGAACGAAAAACAGAATTGAGAAAGAAAACTTAATTTTTGAAAGTAGAACAGAAAATTTGAATTTTTCGGTTTATTTATAATAATTTTGACATTTTTCACAGGACTGGGGAAATGATAAACTACAACGAGCACAGAAAACAATTGATGAAGCATCATACGATCTGGAAGCATGGAGTTTATTAATCAGAGAAGCACAAAATCGACCCATCACCGAAGTTCGACCACTTTTCGAAAAACTCGTCACAGTATTTCCTTCTGCAGGCCGATATTGGAAAATTTATATTGAACAAGAGGTATTCAAACTATTCTCTTGCAAAATTATTTTTAAGCATTTAATTTAAAGAAATTTTTTATTTAAAACAAATAGAGCAAAAAACTTTCTATAAATTAAATATTTCCTTTGTAAAATATTAATATTATAATTATTAATTATACTTTCCAAAGTATTAAGTACTGCTTTTAAAAAAAACAAGTTTTTATTTTTCGAAAATTATTATAAAAGAATAAAAATTGTGTCATACGTAATAATTTAACTATTATGAAAATTTTAATTTTTTGATAGCAGTTAAATTATTAGGTACATATGTTTAAAGTTCAATACAATTTTGATTTCAATTTTTTTCAAATTAATTTTTTTTTACAGATGAAAATGAGGAACTTTGAAAAGGTTGAAAAGGTATGTTGACATTTAGTTGCTTTTGTAAAAAAAATTCGAATCCACAGAAAGGTATTTTTTTAGTATTTTAGTTGTTCACTTAAAACGAGCCTTACGCTTAAATATCAATTGACTTTTACAGAAATGAAGACTGAATTTTAGTATAAGTAATAAATTTACTCATTTTTCTTATGTAAAAATTAAATAAATTCTATTACTAACAAAAGTTTACATTAACAAGCATAGAAATTTTTTTTTAGAAATTGTAAATAATTAAAAATGAAAAACTGTAAATAAATAAACATAGCAGTGTTTATGATTGTAAATAAAAAATACTAAATATTTTGTAAATCCAAATAATTTTTTTTTAAATTTGTTATATTATTTATACTTCATAAATTTATATATATTTATTTAGTATAATTATAAATAACTATTTCTTCTCTTTTTAACTGAACAACATTTGTATATTAAAAAAATAATATTTTTTTTTACCATTAATTAAATAATAGGGAATTAGTTATTTGTACAATGGTATTAAAGTGCAACATGATTCTGACACTTTGCAAATTATGTGAGGTGAATAAAAGATTTTACTTTGCCACGAACTACTTATTTTATTAATTAATTGCAATTCTGTTGGTATATTTGGGAGGTTGTTTTCTTCACGCGTTTAATTATTTATTCTAGAGAAAGTCGGAGGGAGGGAAAAATTTTTTGTAAATAAATTTTCGCACTTTTCGAAGAAGACAACTTTCTGAATTTCACAGCCTTTCCTTCCCTAGTTTTTTTTCGTTTACTTTGATTGCTATTTTTATCAAAACAAATAGCAAACACTAATAATATTATTGTGTCATTGATTTAGTAAATTATATATAAGTCCAATATTTTTTTTGCTAGACGAATGTTGTGTATTTGTGAGAGTTTCGAATTTTTTTTTTCTTCAAATAAAGGGAAACGTTTTCTTCAATAATAGTTTTTAAAATGTAAATATTTTCTGTAGTTTGAAATTTTTCTTTTAAAAAAAGAACTCGAGTTTTAAATAAAAAAAATTATGTTAAAAAATAAAAATGTAGAAAAAGATAGTAAAAAATTAATAGTGAGACTGTTATTTGAGTTTGTGTGTCTGACTGTGCGAATCTAAATGAAAACCTATCCTTTTATCGACTATTTGAGCAATACTCAAATTATCGAGAAACTTTTAGAAGTAGGATAATGTGACAATTTCCCTAAATTATAATTTATGTAAATTTGTTTTTTCTTAAATTAAATTCGTATTCTATAAAAACGAAAATTTTCGACCCTATTTTTAAAATTAATTTTCTACCTGGAAGTATAAAAAGATCTAAAATTTAATAATATAAAGTTTCAAACGTAAATCAAAAAAATTACAAAAATGAAAAATTATTCTAAAAAAAATTAATTATTCTGGAAAAAAATCCAGTCAAAATTACATTTATAAATACAAATCTTCTTCATGAGGAAGCAAACAGAAATATTTTTAAACTATCAAAACTTTTGTCACATTATGTTGCTTCAACATGTCTTGATTTTTCTCTGTCTTGGGATCATTTATTTCTAGATCCCACTTTAGATTATTTACTGAATTAACAATCCCCACTTATGAAATAAATAAAGAAATATTTTATAATTTTAGTGGGGTTTTTTTACAAATACATTATTTTTGTTTCTTTGTTTAAAATATTTTCTCTAATATTAATACATAATTATCCATGTTTTATTCAATAAAACAATTCAATAATTAATACCAATGGTCAATTCTTTTTTACCCATATTTTTCAACCATAATAATAAAAAAAAACAATATTTTCTGTAAAATAATGTTAAATAAATGGAATTTATATTTTTCTGTGGTCTTTTATTAAAATTGTATTTCACTATATAGAAAAAAAAATAAACAAAACTTGCCTAATTTTTTTTGGTAAGTAAGGTGAATGACTTGTTATATTTTCGAACAAATAATGTTAAAACAATTTTTAACAATTTGTTCGTATATTGATTAATAACATTTTATTATAAAAAAAACTTTTTTGTCTCTAAACAGCTTTTCCAAAGGTGCCTCATGAAAATTTTAAATATTGAATTGTGGAAATTGTATCTTTCATACGTTAAAGAGACAAAAGCGAGCCTGACAACATATAAGTGAGTTAAAAAATTTTATTTTACTATTAAATGACAATAAAAACTGAGAAGTAGAAATTATCATTTCAAAGTAAAACGAATATTTGTTAATTATATACAAACAATTAATTTTTTCATTTAGAGAGAAAATGGCACAGGCGTACGATTTCGCATTGGACAAAATAGGAATGGACATTCATTCCTTTAGCATTTGGAATGATTATGTCATGTTTTTGAAAAGCGTCGAAGCTGTTGGTTCATATGCTGAGAATCAAAAAATCAGCGCAGTGAGAAAGGTGAGTTTTTTCGTAGGAAAATAAAGTTGTTGATAGAAAATAAAAATTGAAAGTAACAACTCTTTCGACAAAGAGGTGTCTAAACTAAACTTACTTAATATTTCATTAATTTACCTAGAAATTGATTGCCAAAACATTTGGAACTTTTAGACAAAAATGATTGTGAATATGAATATTTGTTTTAGGTTTACCAACGAGGAGTGGTGAATCCAATGATAAATATGGAACAATTGTGGAAGGATTACATGGCATTTGAACAAAATATAAATCCTATTATTGCCGAAAAAATGGCAATTGAAAGATCAAGGGATTATATGAACGCGAGACGTGTCGCCAAGGAATTGGAGGCAGTAACAAGAGGATTAAATAGAAGTGCTCCGAGTATACCTCCAACTGGACATCCAGATGAAGTGAAACAGGTAAAAATTCCACCTCGAAATATATTTCAACAAAAAAACTTGCGAATCGAAAGAAAAACTCTTCGGAAAGAATTAAATAAACTCGAAAAAATTAAATTTATTTTCAAACGAAACTTTTTTTTGCCAGAAAAAAAATACAAAATATTTTTAATCAAAATTAACGAAATTTTAATTAAAGCGATGTTTGAAAGAATGTTAAAAACGTTTTGGAGAAAAAAGGCAAAGCCTTGAAATAATATAAATAGCAAAAAAATGGAAGTCTAAATTAATTATTTAAAAATATTTAGGTTGAATTGTGGAAGAAATACATTGCTTGGGAACGAAGTAATCCACTGAGAACTGAGGATACATCGCTTGTTGCTAGACGAGTGATGTTCGCCATTGAACAATGCTTATTGTGCCTCGGTCATCATCCAGCCGTGTGGCATCAGGCCGCACATTTTCTCGAATTAAGTTCAAAAATTCTCACCGAAAAAGGTGACGTTAATGCCTCGAAACAACTTAGCGACGAGGCAGCAACAATGTTCGAAAGAGCAACAAGTACATTGCTCTCAAAAAATATGTTGCTTTATTTTGCTCACGCAGATTTTGAAGAAGGGCGAGTTAAATACGACAAAGTTCATCAAATTTATCAAAAGTTTCTCGATATTGCCGATGTTGATCCTACATTGGTAAGCAAAATTCTTTTTTTCTGATGTTGAATAAATTAATTTCATAATTTATTCAAGTGATTAATTAATTATTGAATATTGAAATAATTAATTTCAATTAAACTTCCAGGCTTTCGTTCAGTATATGAAGTTTGCTAGACGCGCCGAAGGAATAAAATCGGCGAGAATAGTTTTTAAAAGAGCGCGAGAGGACCAAAGATGCAAGCATCATGTTTACGTTGCTGCCGCTCTGATGGAATATTATTGTACCAAAGACAAAAACATAGCATTCCGCATTTTTGAATTAGGTTTAAAGAAATTCGGAGACCATCCAGATTATATTCTTTGCTATATAGATTACTTGTCTCATTTAAATGGTACGAATAAAATGCAACAAAAACAATTTTACTATTTAATTAATTTTTTAATTTTGAATTAACAATTATACTAATTATTTTATTCTCATTCTAATAATCTATCTGCCATTTCTCGAATTTCAGAGGACAATAATACAAGAGTACTATTTGAGAGAGTATTATCTTCCGGTAGTTTAGAACCAGAGAAATCAGTGTAAGTTGAAATAATACCTTTTTCCATTTGAATATTTCAAATTATTATTTGTTAATATTGCTAAAAAAATATTTTATCAAAGGTAATTGAAAATATCAAATTTTGCATTTTCTTTTCAAATTTAATTGTAAAATTGAAATTTTCTATTCACAGTGACATTTGGAATCGTTTCCTCGAATTCGAATCGAATATTGGAGATTTAGCCAGTATTGTTAAGGTTGAAAAACGACGAAGTGCTGTTTTAGAGAAGGTGAGAGAGAAGATGAAAAGAATTATTCTATTTCTTTTCATAAAAGAAAATTTCTAATATTCAACGTATTTTTTCTTTCCTTTTTAGATTAAAGAATTCGAAGGTAAAGAAACGGCCCAATTGGTCGATCGCTACAAGTTTTTGGATTTATATCCCTGTACAACAATGGAATTACGATCAATTGGCTACGTTGAAGTGTCGAGTATAAGTAGAAATTCTTCAGGACCAGCTTTACGGATTCCTGATCAAGAAGAAGCACTAGCTGCATTACCGAGACCCGACATATCGCAAATGATTCCATTTAAACCGAAGCTCAATGCTTTGCCCGGAGAACATCCTGTACCAGGTAATAAGAAAGTTTTCTCAAAAATAGAAAACGAAATTCTAACTAACAAAGAAAAAGACCGAAAAGTAATATTTTAAATAATAATAATAGTAAAAAGTGTCAATAATAATTTTATTATTATTTGATAATTTAATTATTTGGTAATTTTACTATTATTTTTCTAATGTTTCCAAAAAGGAATAAAAAACACCAGCAATATAGAAAAATTGAATTCAAAATAGTTAAAAAAATAATAAAGATTTTAAAATTGCATAGAGGGAAAAATTTTAAATTATGAAAATTTTTCAGGTGGCGTGTTTCCTTTGCCTCCAGCAGCTGCTCAATTGTGCACTATTTTACCACCACCAGGATGTTTCAGAGGACCATTTGTTACAATTGATTTACTAATGGACGTTTTTGGTAGAATTCAATTACCAGAGCACGGTTAGTCTTTAATATTATATTAAAAGTCAAATATAAATATTATAAAAATAATTAATAATAATAATAATACCTAACAATAATAATAAAAGAATAATTTTATTATTATTATATATTATTATTGTACTATTATAAAATTAATTATTATATTTTTATAGTTATATTAATTATTCTTGTATTTTTATAATTAAATTGATTATTATAATACGAATTGTAATTCATATTAATTAAATACATTGCAATAATTAATAATTATTATTTCAGCACCGCTCCCAGTGTCAGACAATGGTTGTGACACAAAATTATTCGACCTGGCAAAAAGTGTTCACTGGATAGTTGACGAAGCAAACGACGGAACGGCAATTGGATCAAAACGAAGAAGAACAAGATTAGGTGGTGATGACAGTGAAGAGGAGGATTTACCACCGCCACCAGCTAATGATATTTATCGGCAAAGGCAACAAAAACGAGTGAAATAAGAAAAAAAAACACTTCTCTTTTTTTACACGATAAAAACTCAGGGTAATTCGGAATTTGTTTTGAAATGAATCAATTATGCGAATTTAACTTTTTCACCCCCACGCTGACCCGCATCGTTTTCAAATTATGATTTACAAATATTTTATATTTTTTCTGCAATTTATATAATCTGAAATGATTATTATATAAATTTAAAGAGAGAAAGGGAGAGAGAGAGTTTGGTTTACCAAACTCGCGTGAAGAATATTAATCGAATAGTGAACATGTTCTTTTTTCCTTGTTTCTGAGTACTATGTACTCAAAATGTGTGGATTATTCCACAATTGAGACTGTGTTTATTTTGTATCGTCCATTAATGAATTTTGCAAAATACCTTTAAGTGCATTGTACTCTAAAGTTATATATTGTAAAGGAACGATCAATACTTAGCGAATAACTTAGATTATAATTTTTATTATTGAATAAAATGTATAAGGGTAAAAAACTGATTACGACTTTTTTTCTAAAATCAAAAAAAATTGTTTTCAACTTCAATTTTGAAAACAGTTTTAATTTCAAAAAATATATATTTATAAATAATATGTATTTATTTTTAAAATTAATATTTTGATGATAATATTTATTATTATTTATTATTATATTTATTTATTTTGATAATATTTTGTATTTTTTATTTACTAAATTGCAGTATTTTTGTTTTTTAAGACATGATTTGAACTTTAATTTAGTTAATTTAACTCTTTGAAGTTTCAATATCGTCTTAAGGTTTAATATGGCAATAACTGGTAAACTTACTCTATGTATGCAATCGCGTTCGATTTAAATCGATTTTGAATAAGTGAACTTCTAACCATTTGGGTTGAATGTAATTGAATGCCTATAACTTGCTAACGAGCAAAACCTCTCAAGTTTGAATCGCAAATTGAGGCGAAACGTTGCAGCTCTGACCAGTGCATTTCATGATAGACCACGAAAGAAGATAAAGTGATTGTTGTTAAATTCAACGAAATTGATAAAAAGCTTTTTATCGTCTAACACAATATTAGTATTAATTTACCGTTATTTATTATTATTTTTGACAATTGTTAGAAAGCAATTTTTAATTTTCCTTCTTTATGAAAAAAGGATCTTTACAATCAACACTAATTTTCAATCGACATGAACCAAATTGGAACAAAGCAACGAAATAAATATAAATACGTTCTTAATTATAATTAAATTAATTCTAATTAAAATTGACTTGATTTATAAATCAAGTCAATTTTAATTTTAAAATCAAGTTAGTTTTAATTTATAAATCAAATTAATTTCAATCAGTAAATTAAATTAATTTCAATTCATAAATAAATTTTAATTTATAAATTAAATAAATTTTGATTTATGAATTAAAATTCTTATTTTAATTCACTTGAAATTTAATTAGTTCTAATTTTAAACAATATTCAGAATACTTTTTCAATTAACGACAATTTGAGTTGGTATTGTACTGGTAAATAGTTCATCATCAAGTGGTTTTCCTCGCGATTTACTCGAGAGTTTGTTGCCGGCTGTAACTATGTTTGATAAGGATAACAATTAAACTTTGATCGCCAATGCAAACTGGAAAGGTTGGTAATTGCCTGCTGAACTAAATGGCAAATTAGAAACTGCTTTCGGCATACTTTGCCATTCATTTGTTTAAAATTTGAGGCACAGAAAAAAAGAAAAAAACTCTCCATCCTTCAAATAGCATCATTTGGAAAAAGAACTTTTTGTTTCAATCTGATTTTAAAGAAGTAATCTAAATTATTTAACAGTTTATTTCTGAATTTATTTAACAGTTCATTTAATAATTAATTTCACAATCTATTTAGTAATTAATTAAATAATTAATTTAACAATCTGTTTAATAATTAAATAAATAACTAATTTGACAATCTGTTTAATAAATACTCTAACAATTTATTTAATAATCCTAGGGAAATATTTATTTAATAATCTTAAAGAAATATTTATTTAACAACTTTTAATAAATATTTATTTAAAATCAGATTGTAAACAAAAATTTATTTCTACTATTCGAATTTAAAGAAAATGAGTAAATTTTGTTAATAAACTTAAAATTGTTATTTTTATCATTTTATTACAGACAGAAATTCAAAGAATTTTTCCCTCCTTTTTTTGTGCAAGAGATGAAACGTCATGGAACATTTCAAACGTTTTTGTTTTACCAACTTCTTATATAGTATATATAAGGAAAAAAACTTCACAATTATGCTGCTGCGTTAATACGATTCTCCAAGAATTTACGTTTTAAATGAACTTGAGAAAGAATTAAAAAGCTTTTAAATCTCCCAGTAAGATTTTATGGAAGCCTTTTATAAACTTTTAACCATTTTTTTGTACAGACATCCATTTATGTGAAAATATTTATTCTCTTCCTGGCAAATATTTTCAAAATCATTGTAATTATTTAAAAATTAATCTTCATCGAATAATTCCAAGAAGGATTATAATTTGAATCATTTTCAAAATCATTTCCACTACTACTCAAATTTTAATTCTTATTGAATAATTTCAAGAGAGAAGAACCTGAATAATTTCGAAAAAAAATTAAATAACAAAGAAAAGAAAAAAAATTCGAAAAAAGGAAATTTGAATCGAAATTTAGTGGTTTAGTAAAAGAAAACAAAAAATGACTCTAATCCAAAGATTTAGAGGTCTCTATATTGAAACTAATTTCAATCTGCTGGATGTGGTTTCGGGTCGGAAGGCGACAGTGCAATTTATCGGTGGAAGTTCATCGTTTCTGATAATTGAGAAACGAAGTGACCTAAAGCAAGTTCCGCCCACGTACATCCTAGGGAAACTACATTACATGAACATAAATTCAAGAATGGTTGGCGCGTGACTATGTGGCATAGTTGTACCCCATCCGTCTTATGGAAGTCCTGTACCTCAACGATATTCGAACAGAAACGATCTAACTAAATGAGAAGCAACACACTAACTATATTTTCCCCTTTCATCCACTGACCTCCTTTCAAAACTAGGTTTCAGTTACAAAAAGAAAAAAACAACAAAAAATAAACTCAATAATAAATATAAAATGACAAATAAAATAAAAATAACAATCATTATTATTACTATTATTAACATTAAAATTCCCATAAATAAAAAAAATAGATATTACAATGAGAAAATATTCTTTTAATCCAAAAATATGAAGCCAATCAAAAAAATATGTTTGAATTAAACGTAATTTTTATTGAATCAAACATATTATGCATTGAATCAAAATTATTATGTTTAATTCAAAAATAATTTTTGGTTGACTGTACAGCAAAGATAATTATGTTTGATTCAAATATATACATTTATCAGTGTAGATATTCATTAAAATAAAAATAATAAATTACAAAATAAATACATGAAAGAAAACTTCAGAAACAAAAAAATAAGGAAAATAATAATTTACAATTAAATATAAACAAATGTCAAATAAATACAAAAACATAAATTACAAAAAGTAAATTCCACCAAGAAATTGTTAAATGACAAATAAAATAAAAATTATTGTATAACAAAATTATCATCAAATATTGGAAATTAAAAAAAAATAATAAACTCTACAAACAAATTATCAAATAACAACTTAAATTGCAATAATTATTTATAAATAATAAATACACATGTTAATATTAACAACAATAAATTACAAAAAAAATACGGCAAATAAATTAAGTATAAAAAAATATAAATACTTCCTCTATGAGGAAGTAAAAGTTACAAATTACAACAAAAGTTATGAAATGACAAATAAAATAATTATAATAAATAACAAATTAAAAATTATAAATATAAAATTTCAAAAAATACAGAAAAAAATATTTTAAAAATTACAAACAATTGCCAAAAAGTATAAAAAAAAAATTACAAAGAAATGCACTCCCAAAAAAATTATTAAATACCAAATAATATAGGGGAGAGTGGGGCAAACCGGACCGGTGGGTAAACCGGACCCCCCTCAATATTTCCGAAATGGCGAAATTAGAAAAAGTGTTGTTTACAAATTTAAAACAACCATGTTTGGTATACCTTATTTTGATTGTAGGACACTTTTCCCAAAACAAGTTTCCCAACGATTTCTTTTCCCAAAAAAACTTTTTCCAAAGACAATTTTCCCAAAAAGTTTGAATAATTTAATTACTTATTTTTGAAATAAATTTTTCCAAAAAAATTTGAAACCGTAAAAGTATGATTAAAAAAATTCAAAAAATTATCATGAATATTAAAGTGTCAAAAAGGTCAATGTAAAATATGTTCATTTAATAGATATACTAAAATTCAAAAAAGCTTTTTAATTACTTAATTATTTAATTTAAAAAAAAAATTTTTTTTTTGAAAAAGTGTCAATCTGTTTTTCAAAATTTTTTTATCCGACTTTCACAGTTTCAAATTTTTTTGGAAAAATTTATATCACAATATCTACCATTAATTAATTTAGATTCTACATTGAATAGAGATTGAAACAAGACTAAGAACGGTAGTGTACGTCGACCAAGCTTTGTCCATATTTAATAAAAATTTCAATTTATAAAATACTATGAATTTTGACAATCTTTCAAAAAAGGTAACTGACAAACAAATAATGAAACAAAATTTGAATTTCATGTTTCCGAATATGAATAATTTCTATGAGACAATTTTTATTTGTTTGGGAAAAGGTTTTGGGAAAGTCATATTTATTGGGAAAAGTTTTTTTTGGAAAAGAAATCGTTGGGAAACTTGTTTTGGGAAAAGTGTCCCCCTACCCTTATTTTTTCAATCTGACAGTTTTAGCTTCCGTTTGTGCGACGAAGGGAGCAAAAGTTTTTTTAAAAATTTTTTTCTACACTTTTACGAATTTTTTCTTAAGGAAATTCTGAGGAAATCGTGTAATGTTTCCAAATATTAGGTCTTAGGTTTTGAAGGTACACACCTCAGGAATATTTACCACCAAAAACTTTGATGAATTTGCAAAGCATTTCTTTTTGACAAACATTTATTCTCAAAATGGGCCTGTGGGGCAAACCGGCCATAGGATATTTCCATTGAATTAAAGTTTCATAAAAATTATTTTTAAATAAAATGTTTCTTTCATTAAAATATTTACTTACAATGAAAAATAATTGTCTTCCAATGAGAATTAGACCCTTTAATATTGTTTCTCTGATAATGACAAACATTTTTATTTTTTTTATTAAAAAAAATATTTATTTAATTAAAATTCAATCCCGTATTATTATTTTCATTACTACAACCATTGTATACATGATTCTTTATGTTTTTTATTATTGTAGATTATGTAAATGCAATATTATAAATAAAAAACCAAACGGTCCGGTTTACCCCAGGGGGTGGGGCAAACCGGACCGTTTGCAAAATTTTTTAAAGTTAACACAGCAACTAAACAATAAAAGATAAACTATAGGTGTCTCTGGGAAAAAGTTGCGCAATTAAATGATCT